AATATATATTATTTATTTATTTATATAACAAATAATCTAAACTACTTTAAATTAATTTAAATATATTCAATTGAGCATATATGGGGTAGGGAAGATTTGCATAGAAGACTAGGTAATTGTTAAATTTTTTTTTTCAAACATAGGTAACTGCTTTTAACAACTTAAGCTAAGCTAAAAGCCACTTAACACTTATTATTATTATTTTTCAAAACAGCCTTGATTTTGGCTCAAACAAAAAAACAAACCAAACATCGATGGAAAGTGAGTGGACGACATCCATAACAATGTCGTGCTCTAACTTGAAGTAACAATCCCCGTTTTGATAAACGGGACACCCGTCTCGAGAAGTGTCGAAATGCCAAAACTGCCGTTGAGAAACCATACAAAAAACACAATCCTACTCTTCCCAGGCGAGCGCGTGAAACCACTCAACAATCAACCGAACCCCATTCAACTTACAAGCGCCACTCAAGCGCGTGACGAAGACCGCATCTGAAGGTCTCTGAGCGCACTGTCGTTCAAGCAAGTGAGGCGTCCCTGTTTATCAAAACTAGTGGGCGTCCCGATCCTTTTCTGTAACCTTCAAAATTTTCCCTCACTTTCCATTTCCAAGATCAAAATCTCTATGTTTATTTTCAAATATTTACGCTTTTCTTTTTTGGCTTTTATGGGTAGGTAATATATTTTAGAGAAATGAATTTATTGCTGCAAATATGTTTTTGGTATGCTAATACACAATAAGACTCTCCATTAAGGCATTGCTGATCTGTATAACCCCATTATATCTGTTGTTTCTATATTGAGATTCATTTCCTTTGAAATTTGATTCTGGGATTAATTTTCTTGGTGTTGAATTTGTTTTCCAGGTATTTTTGTGCTGGCACTTGGGGGTGAAATTTTGGGTCTGTAAGTGCAAGTTTTCACTGACCTAGGAATTTTCAATCAAGTAAGCTTTTCACCTTCACGTTTTCTGTTTTGGGTTACTGTTATGTCTGTAGTTTTTTTGTTAATTTGTGATAGAAATCATTGCTGGTTATAGAGAGGTATTTGGTGTTTTCAAGAGTCTCACTCAACATTGTATATATGTTGTTTTTTCTTTTGGGGTTTGTTTGTTTCTATAACTTATGCTTTGCAAAGTTGATTTACAGAAAGTTGTCCAATTTGAGTTCTAAACTAAGATTACTGAGTTCAGACAAAAAGAGAAAAAAAGAAAAAAGACTATGAGCTATGCTGGCAACAGAAAGTAGTTTTAAGCAATCGTTTCCATTCCCATGGTTACTCTCTAGAGTTCTATAAAGTAGAAACCATGTTGCACATTGTGGAATTTTAATCTAATCGCGTTCTGATGTGTGAGAATATCCACATTTGTCTCAATGGTTGATACAAGAGTTATGCTATTGCATTGGAGGGCTTCCACTTTTTCTTTTGAGGCCAATCTTAATGAAGACATCACTGAAAAAATTGCATTGTTGTTTTAATAACTTATCATGGTATAATGGTATTCATCTTTTTAATAACTTATAGTATGAGAACATTGTGATTGAAACAAGTCGCCTAGTCTTGCTCGATGTAGAATAATAGTAGAACCCTTGATTTGACTGTCCATATTCTACAGCACACATGAGTTTTAGGAACAATTGTCTTCGTTATGTCTGGAGAGGTTTCCGGGTTTGTTGTATGGGTTGCACATTATGTTGCTACCATATGCCTAAATAATTTAAATTTGACTGGTGCTGTCAAAATATTTAGGTGTGCTAAAGTTACTGGTTTGTGGGTCTGTGGTTCAACAATTTATTTTTCACTCAGGAAAATGACCTTATCTATACAAGATTCAAGACTCAGCAGGTTTGAAGAAATAAGTTTCATGCTTAATTTGTCTATGGACTTATTTATGGTGAAAGCCTTAGGACTTCATTTTTTCAAATATACATACTTTTAAAAAGTGAAGTTCTTGTATCCTATTCTTTGTCAAACAATACCATGTTTATATATTCTTTTTTTGTTTATCTATCAGCTGCGTTTTCTTTCTACCATTGGTAATGGAAGCTCAGAGTCAAATTGAGGTTACAAAGCAGAACAGGATGCTTCCTCCACAACCGGGTACGTTTGAAGATCGTGAAGACCTCATCAAATATGTTCGTGATTTTGGTGCTAGTCAAGGATATGTGGTGACCATCAAGAAGTCGAGGAAAGACAGAAGAGTCATACTTGGTTGTGATAGAGGAGGTGTTTATCGCAATAGGCGTAAAATTGATGAGAGCAAGCGCAAAAGGAAAGCAAGTTCACGCCTTATAAATTGTCCTTTTGAAGCCATTGGGAAAAAGGAAGATGATTTATGGGTACTTACAATAAAAAATGGGGATCACAACCATGATGCGTTAAAGGACATGTCAGAGCATCCATATAGTCGTCGTTTCACTGAGGAAGAGGTCAGACAAATCAAGCAAATGACTGAAGCTGGTGTGAAACCACGTCAAGTTCTTAAGACTCTCAAGCAAATCAATCCTGAACTGCAGTCAACACCAAGGCATTTGTATAACCTCAAAGCCAAGATCCGTCAAGGAAATCTATCAGGTTCCTCTTGTTCCCAAGATTTAAAAAAATTTAGTATATTCTAAGTTGCTAGAAAACTGAATCTGTACCATTGTGCAGTGTGTTGGTGGGTAGTGGTGTGCTACTGTGGCCGTTTTATTAGGTTCTTTTTGCGTAGTTAGTATTGGGGTTTGAGTTGGACTTCTTTGCAGTTGAAGAACAATTATATTTAATATAAAGGGCACATATTCATACTACGGTGCTAATCATTGGAAACAGGAAAAGTCATTTTCCTAGTGAAATCCAAATTACAGTTTTGAGAGGCCACTAAGATCATGTAAAGGGGAGATTTCACCATACTTTTGTAAGCTAAATATTAGGTCATTTCTACATTGGTATTAGTTTCTGATACTGCAAGTATGTTGTTTTTTAGTTTTTAATAATTTGGTTAACTGATAGTTATACTTAAAGATTGGAAGAAAGTTGCAGGACTTTGAAAAGTTAGCAGACATGTGCGCATATGGTACCCTAGTTTTTGAGTGGCCACTAAGATCATTTAAGAGGTTTGCTCCCATGTGGTCTGAGATTCGATTCCTCAAGGTACCTATCTAGCTATTTGCCAGAGTTTCCTGCCTCCAAAAGATTGTAGGGTTCGGATGGGGGCCCCAGTTTCGGAGCCGGGGGATTTCTGTGTAAGAAAAAAGCAAGCTTTTAGGGCCAAAAGATTGTATAGGTTTTGACTAGAAAATTTGATAAACTAACTTTTGGATTGCTGGATAGAATAGCTAGAAACTTTTGGATTTCTGGATAGATTAGCTAGAGTAGATCAGAAAATTTATCAGTAAACATTAACAACTTTATATTTTTAACTTATTTTATCAGAAAAAAGTTTCAAGTCATGGAGACCTGACAGATCTGCTCTGGTGAGTACAAGTGCTACTACCAGTGGGGGTTCATCAGAACAAAACAACCAACCGGTAAGGTTTGATGTTAAAGGTGGTCGAATAAGGCTGCTTTTCTGCTTCTGCTCTGTCTCTCTCTGCTTTTTGCTGAATGAGTTGGGTATTACAAACTTATGTTAGATTCAATTGTAGCTGAAGGTTCCTAATTTTATTGGAGGGAAATTTGTTGATTCTCAAGGGTGTTCAATGATTGATGTAGTAAATCCTGTAAGCTCACAAAATTCAAATAATTATCATCTTATTCTCTTTTCGACAGACGCATTTATCAGTTATATTATTAAATTTATGTTTGATTTCTTAATTAGGCGACACAAGAGGTTGTTTCTCATGTTCCTTTAACTACCTATGAAGAGTTCAAAGCTGCAGTTAGTTCAGCCAAGCAGGCTTTTCCGTCATGGAAAAACACTCCTATTACCACTCGTCAACGTATCATGTTTAAGCTCCAGGAGCTCATTCGGAGAGATATCGTTAGTATTTAGAGTCTCATAAATTCATTATTGTAATATATGATTTCTATCCTGGACTTATGAATCTCAATGTGGACAACACAACATTACTCTTTTCGATATTGTTAGTATTTAGAGTCTCATAAATTCATTATTGTAATATATGACTTCTATCCTGGACTTATGAATCTCAATGTGGACAACACAACATTACTCTTTTCAGGGCAAGCTTGCCATGAATATCACCATAGAACAGGGTAAGACATTGAAGGGTGCCGAGAGTGATGTGCTCCGTGGCTTAGGTCAGTCTTTGCACATGTCTTTTTGCCATTTCTGTTACTGTGACCAGTGTTAACCAAAAGTGAGTTGGTTTTATTTTTTTTGCCTTTAGAGGTGGTTGAACATGCTTGTGGGATGGCAACTCTACAAATGGGGGAGTTTGTTCCTAATGCATCTAATGGTATTGATACATACTGCATTAGGGAACCACTAGGTGTTTGTGCCGGGATATGTCCTTTCAACTTTCCAGCAATGATTCCCTTGTGGGTATGGCTACATTACCTCTCAGTTCTTTTCATTGGTGGTTTGTTTTTCATTGTTTTTAAAAAACCTTCTGCAGGACTTAGGTGACAATTTTATATGATTTTGCTTCCTATTTTAGTTTAGGTTGATGTGCTTATTTTCTCATGCATTTAGTCATTTCTTTAAACTACGGAAGACAAACTTTTAGATTGTGTAGCTTTTTTGTGCATTTAAATTTCTATTGTTAATCACAAAACTGTTTTTTTTGGGTACTTGGGAGTCTTTTATTTGTGTGGTTTGTGGAAAAAGATAAGAGGAGTTTCCTGTGAGTAACTTTTCCACGGTTTTGCAGATGTTCCCAATTGCAGTTACATGTGGCAATACATTTGTTCTTAAGCCATGTGAAAATAATCCAGGTGACTTTGAATCCACTGCTATTATGTTCAAGATTGGGACACTTTGTTTCTAATTGGATTGCTTATTTCTGTTGTATGTGAATTGAAAGCATGTATTTGGGTACTGCTTTAAGCAATAATATGGAGGCCGTTGAACATCTATAATTCCATTCATTGTCCATGGATCTACTGGCAATAGTTTGGAACAAAACTTGCACTGATAAGTGATATCCAATAAAAATAACACCCCCTTCACTTTTCTGATTTTCATATGAATCAGAGTTTTACATGGAGAATCATCTTTAGAGAAGTTTCCAGATTCAAATTTCTAGCAAGTTTCCAGATATGAAGACAATGATTTAATCAATATAAGGAGAATCATCTTTAGAGAAGTTTCCAAATATGAAGACAATGATTTAATCAATATAAGTGGTGAAAAGGTTATCGAGTGGGAATTGTGGGTGATATAATGAATATAATTCATGATTGTAAGTTGTATGTATTTAAGATTTTAAACAACTTAGTTGTGCTAATGCATACATGTGCATATGGGAATACGTTTAATCAATAGTAACTGTGTTTGTGCCTTAGTGTTAGGTGGAAAGCCATACATTAAAAGAAGGGTGGTAATGCTAAGGTGTGGGGTTGGTGAGGTTCTATGTTTAGATCTTTCCTACAAAAAGGAAACCACAAAAGATCATCAATCAATATTGATGCACTTCTTAAATTTTGTGTATGTCATTCTAATGTGTTGCAATGATCTCTGTAGATCGATCATTTGTTATTTGGAAGCGGTCGTATGCTACACCTTGTATCATTGTTGACTTCTTTTTTTTTTTTTTCTTTTTTTTTTTTAATTTATGTATCTTCTTAGAAATGCAATATTATGTTTCATTTTTCTTTTACTGTGCCCATATTGACAAATTCAAATGGCTGATATTGTTTTTGTTTAAGGGGCTTCAATGATACTTGCAGCACTTGCAAAGGAGGCTGGTTTACCCGATGGTGTCTTAAATATTGTTCATGGCACCCATGTAAGTTCTGTTGATCAGGATCTCCATCTTATTTGTACGTATTTGCCACAGTTCTAGTCGTGGAAATCTTCTGCGTTTTAAGTAGAAAAATGAAAGACATATTAATATGTAGTTGTACAAATGGCAGTTGCCATTTTTTCGGGGTTAATATATGTTATTAAAATAGCTGTTGGTCACTCCCATTGCACCTTATGTATTTTCCAATAATTTATGCTGTTCTCTAAATGATTAGGTAATGTCAATTTGAAATCTGGGGTAGGTTGCTAATTAATCTTTTCTAAGCACTGACAAAATTTACTTTTCTTGAAAATCATTTTGAGCAGGACATTATTAATTATGTCTGTGATGATGATGACATAAAAGCTGTATCACTTGTTGGCTCAAATACGGTAAGTTTCTTTCAGTTTGGTGGTTCATGATTATTTATATGTCTATCCGGTCCCTGAAGATATGACTTGAAGTTCAGATTCACTCGACACATCAGCACACTCACATATAACCTTGTCGGCCTTCGCTACATCTTCACATGGCGAAAAACTCAAAGTCATTGTGAATTGAATTTGTTTATGTGATTGTCCTAGTGAGCTGAAGTGTTCCATTAGTCTATCCACTGCTTTTATCATTGGCGCAACAGAAAAGAAAAATTTCTACTAAGTTTCTAGGGAAAGGAAGCTTTAAGACCATTGCTGGAACGATGATAATTGAATGTCTAGGGAAAGAGTGGCCCAAGAACAATTGTCTAATCTGATTATATATTCTGTCAAATGTTTTTTTTTCTTTTCAAAGGCTCATAATGAGGAACACATATATTGGGGACATTCCAGCCCAAGCCATTGATATGAAAATAAGATTCACTCGACACATCAGCACACTCATATATAACCTTGTCGGCCTTCGCTACATCTTCACATGGCGAAAAACTCAAAGTCATTGTGAATTGAATTTGTTTATGTGATTGTCCTTGTGAGCTGAAGTGTTCCATTAGTCTATCCACTGCTTTTATCATTGGTGCAACAGAAAAGAAAAATTTATACTAAGTTTCTAGGGAAAGGAAGCTTTAAGACCATTGCTGGAACGATGATAATTGAATGTCCAGGGAAAGAGTGGCCCAAGAACAATTGTCTAATCTGATTATATATTCTGTCAAATGTTTTTTTTTCTTTTCAAAGGCTCATAATGAGGAACACATATATTGGGGACATTCCAGCCCAAGCCATTGATATGAAAATAACCCTTTAATCTCAGCCCTTAAAAACACTTTAAGCTTACTGCCTTCACAGTATGTGGACAAGAGAGAGGCTTTAATAAACCTTTTGGAGGCCTCTGCATCAATAGTTCATGGGTATGAAATTAAATCATTAAACTGATAGTAGAGCTCATAAATCTGAGTAAGTGTAATTAGTTTTTGCCGCTGAAATCTTACATTTCCCTGCACTTTGGAAATTGAATAGGTTTGCTTGTATTCAATAGGTTGTCATAGCACATATGTTTAACTTTGGACTTCAAATATATGATAGAGTATATGCCATTCTACTCTTACGTGTTTAATTCCCTTTTTATATCTACTCTCTGTTGTTCATGTACTGTGAAGGCTTGGATGCACATATATGCGAGGGCAGTTGCTAGGGGAAAACGTGTTCAGGTGAATAGTTGCTCTCTCTCTCTCCCTCTCACTTACCCACCCAAGCGCACACACAATCGGCATTTTCTTTCTAACTGAATTTGCTTTCTAACTGGTGATTCTGTCAACTCCTTAGTCTAATATAGGAGGAAAAAATCATGCAATCATCATGCCTGATGCTAGCATGGATGCTACCTTGAATGCTCTGGTTACTGCTGGCTTTGGTGCTGCAGGACAAAGGTGTATGACTCTCAATACAGCTGTTTTTGTTGGAGGTTCAAGGCCATGGTAATGCATTTTGTTTGTTTGATCTGATAATGTTTTATTCCTTTCTTTTCTTTTTGGTATCTTCCCATCTACTGAGTTCACTGCATTTAATAATAGGAGTTACATGCCTATATTCTTCTTAGAAGTTTGAATGTTACTGGAACATGTACCACTCAACTGAGTTGTGTCTTTAGTCCTTCACTACTTGAGTTTGCCTACAAATTTGAGATACTTTCTTGTTTATCCTTTGCAACTTGTGGTTATTGTTACTCATTCTTTTTCTATTTGTAATTTATATATTAGCTCACATCTAACAGTTGGGTCTTATTTTGTATTTACATTAATGCTCATCCAATGTTGTGTTCGGGCTAAATTTTTTAAACAAGTGACATGTGTCCATCTATGGTACTAAAAGAGATGTGATCTGTGGGGTTCCTACTTTTGCCTGTTGGGCTTCCCATATTAGTTAACATATTAATGGGAAGGGTTAAAGTTTCTACCAAGTCTTCTCATGGGTTAGTAGTGTAAATTGGAAAGAGTGGCCAAATTAAGACTGACCAAGTTTAGAACGTCAGCAGTGCAGGGTTGATATTAATTTTCCTTTTATTTTACATGTTAGATTTTTAAACTGTTTTTTATTATGTGAACAATAAAATTATTTCTATTTTGTCATAAAATTAACAATGTTGTTTTGGCTTAAAAACTATTATTTGACCTGTGCTTTGCATAGGTAGCAAGTTAGTTTTCAACTAAACTTGGTGGTCTATTTATATTTTACAGCTTAACAATGTTTGTTTTGGCTTAAAAAACTATTATTTGACCTGTGCTTTGCATAGGTAGCAAGTTAGTTTTCAACTAAACTTGGTGGTCTATTTATATTTTACAGGGAAAGCGAAATTTTGGAGCATGTCAAAGCCCTTAAAGTGAATGTAGGAACAGATCCCAGTGCAGACCTTGGCCCAGTTATTACAAAAGAGGTGAATAAGTCCTTCTGCATTGTCTGCCTTTTTTCTTTATAAAAAAGGAACTAATTGGAAAGCTTAGTTTCTGTGTATTGTAAGGAGCTAGCTTTTGGCCTGAAGTGGGTCTTTCTAGTTCCAAGAGATTGCTATTCTCTGTTGATCGAGGAATTTTTAGGGATGTTCGGGATGGGGCTAATAAGGGAGTTGTAGGCTTTGCTCTATGCAGTACTAGGTTCTATTTGGGTTGTGTATCATGAGAGGAATAGAAGAATTTTTTAGGATGGGAAGAGGAACTGAATTTTGTTCGAGAACAGTTAAATTTCTGGCCTCCTTTTGTTGATGCCTTTGTCTAAGCACTTTAGAGATGTTCCGTTTAGTGTCGTTCACCTTGATTGGGCTCGGGTTTTGTATTGAGTGTGACTTTGCTTGTTTTGTGCCTTTTTGTTGTTCTTGCAATAGGTGGAACACATGTCCTATCTTTTTGTAATTATGTTCTTTTATCTATAAATTAAGTTTCCTACTAAAAGATCCTTCAAATTTCTCATGGAAGCATGTTGTACCTATATAGATGATATGCTTAATGCAGTTTTTTTATATTAAGTTTTTTACAAGGTTTCTAAATTCACAGGTGAAGGATCGCATTTGCAGATTAGTTCAGAGCAGTGTTGAAAGTGGTGCTAGACTTCTGCTTGATGGGAGAAATGTTAGGGTACATATTTGATCTCAGATAAGATGAGATAAATCAATTCTTGCTATGAACAAATGCTTTACACATGTGCACATGCATAAACACAAATTGAAAAAGATGTTAATTTCAGTATATTACCAAAACTCTGGGAGGTGTTTTTTGAAATTTTCTTTTGGCTGCACTGTTTATGGAATTTGACTTAGGTAATTTCTCTTGACGTGACCACGGATGACATATTCTATCCTCACCTATTTTCTTCTATCCTGATTTTAGAATTTTTGGCTTTGGGTGGTTATTTCTTGTATGCTTGTGTAGTTTGGTTGACCACCGTGGTGGCTTTTAATAATTTTACTGATCAAATTAAGAGAAATATAAGAACATATATTTTTGTTTTTTAAGGCGCTGGTGATAAAATACATTAATTTGTTCCATTTTATGAGCAAATCATGATTCATGCATAGTTTTGCTGTAATATGCATGCAATCAACCAAAGGATGAACAAAAGGAAAAACTGTGTGAATTTTCACCTTGAGTTTCTATACATTTACAGAAGTTGGTTTCATGCACTCTATGTTTTAGTCACAACGTTGCTGATTGTTGATGTACTTTACAGACTACTTTCCTTCCTTTTTTGTAGCATGGCTTCTCCATTAGCAGTTTTCTGCTTTCTTTCCATATTCTTATATTCTTTTCTGTTAATATGTATCTTATTTTATCTTTTGCTGATAAAGTATCATTTTATCACCGATCTCATGGTAACAATGGAGCATGTAGTGTTCTATATGTCACATGCTGAGCATGTGTATAACTAAGGAGCTTGCTTTCTAGAAACATTCTCTGAATTTTTCAAACACGACTTTGTAGGTTCCAGGATATGAGAATGGAAATTTTATAGGTCCTACAATCTTATGTGATGTTACAACCAACATGGATTGCTTTAAGGTAATCTTTTCATGTTCCCAGTTCTTCTATGTCTTCAGAATAAATGGACTTGGTTAATTATGATTCTCAGTGGAAGAAGAGTTGAAACCAAAGACATTGGCATATTCTTGACAGCATTATATCTTGTGTTGGGCAGGAAGAAATTTTTGGACCAGTTCTTCTTTGCATGCAGGTATTCTCTCTCTCTCTCTCTCTCTCTCTCTCTCTCTCTCATATTTGTGTGAGAGTTTGCTACAAGTTGTAGATTGGTTACGAAAC